TAAGGTTCACCAGCCACGATAATCCCCCAAAAGTGACAATTTACATATAACTACCAGGGCAGGAATGAAACGCAGGTTTTGTTCCGAGGGGCTTGGGGTGGTGGGTGCTGCTGTCCCTCCAGCAGCCCAAAGCGTCCTGCAACGCAGCCGACTTAGGATGCTGCCGGCCTCGACAGAGCAAGCGGCTGGGTGAAACCACCCGGCCGCCGAGCCGAGCGCATGGCAGGCGCTCTGGGTTGGGGGTATGGACCCAAAAATCCTCCGCAATAAGTGACCCCAGGCAAAACAAACACGTCAAATGAATCGAGCGGTGCACGTCCAACAGCGGCAGGGGCTGGGTGCTAGACCAAACATAGGGGTAAAGCTCTTCAGGGGATAAATCTGCCGCATCAGGCTATGCTAATGCTACCTGCCGTGATAATCTGCTCTGTGAAACAGGAAGGAAAAAAAACGTGCTTTCTCTTTGCATTAGACTAAGAAGCACATTCCTGTCTGACTGGTACGGTTTGGAGTTCTTTGTCCATGCTTTTCCAGAGACCTGCTGGCCCACCCCTGCCGTCTCCAGAAATTCCTGGGAGGAAAATGCCGCTAGTCCAGCAAAGTCCTCAGCGCTACAGCTCGTGACGCTCAGAAGGACAGAAATAATTCTTTGCTTGAATTCTAATGCCCAAAAGGTGTCACTTGCTTCGTCACATATGAAGCAAACCAGACACAGTGATTTTTTTCTTTTTTAACTTTGCATCTTTATCCATAGCTTTTAGTGCATGGTGATTTTTTTTTTGTTTGATTTTTTTTCTTGAGGTTTCGGAGGCAGGGCAGCATCTCCCTAGGGAAGCGGTATCGGAAGCAGCAACGGGAAAGACTCTGGGGAGGAGGGCGATCGAGTTGGCAGGGGCCGGGCTCGGCAGGCTGAGCCGTCCCTGCCGCCCGGGCACGGCGCCCTTGCAGACGCGACGCCTGGCGCTCGTGCGCTCACGCCTGCGTGGCCTTTCCCTGGGGCGACGGGGCAGAGCTGGTGGCTGCAAACACATTACTCATCGTGATGGAGTGCCTAGCAATTACCGTACGTATTTTTTTCAGTTCTCAAATTAAAACCATTTACTAGGAGGAGCAGATGTTAAATTCAGGACTCTTGTTGATGGTTAGCGTGACAGAGGCGTGAAACGCTTGGAACTGGAAGACTGATTGAATTTTCAATACGCTGCTCACAGTGGTGGGATTGAAAAGAACTGAAACTGGAAATAACTGAAACGTTCCCAAGATGAGGTACCTGAGGTGGGGGAAGAACTTTTGGTTTTCGAACCCACGATTGCATAATTCTCGTTAAATCCTGCAGACCAAATACATTAATGATTTACTGTATGTTACAGCACCGTAACGTGGGATTTGCATCGTTGTTGCTTCAAAATGGCAATAGCAAAGCTTTTAAAGATGAAAGTAACATCCATTTTTGAACGTATGCTTCAGCTATTACCTGTACGCTTTGTAGGAGCTCTGATGATAAGATTTCCTTGATTTTTTTGTTTGCTTATTCAGGAAAATGGACTTTACTGATTACTGAGCGATTAGTGCCCATGGTAAAGGGTGCATCGTGTCTAAGTGACCGGGTGTCTTGCAGCCCCCTTTGCCCTTAGGAAACCGCTTTCCCTGCGAGCAGTATGAGGCTTCCTAAGGGCAAAGGGGCTGCAAGAGATCTGTGGGAGTAAAACTTTCCAGCGCATCTGACAGCAGATCAGACTCTCTCAGCTGGAAGTTCAGCCCATCAGGGCAACCTATCACTTACAATAAGGAGGGGTTCTTTGACTTCTCTGCTCAGATCTGGCTGTGCAGGTATTTTGCATAAGAAAATAAAAAGCCAGCTGTGTACGTACGAAGAAAAACCCTCTATTTTAGTCACAAAGCACTGTTCTGCAGCGCTACGTTTTCCAATCCCCTTGTTGCTTTGAAACGTCTCTGCTCGAGAGGTGGCCCCTCTGGTCCTTCCCTCAGGAGCCAGAGAGGGCCATCGGCTCCCACCCTCGCCTTCCTTCGCTGAAGGCTCTTGCGTGAAGTCTGCGCGATCATTTTAAGCAACCGTAAAGGGGGTTATTTTCCAGCTGTGCAAAGGTGTTGAGGGGCTCATTAGTGTTTGTAAAACACTTTCCCATTAAAGCTGATGCATGCGTTTTGTATACAGAACTTTTCCATTCCATACCTTGACTTTGCAGGATTTATTGCACGCAAGGAATGAAAATTTGAGTTGGGGAAGCAAATACAGTAACAATTGCAGTTAACTTCCACAACCCCCAGGTGTTACATTTAAATAAGATGACTTTTAATTAAGTTTAGTAGCCAAATACTGCTTGTTCTAAACCATTGTACTGGCACTTCTACCACAGGAAAATGCCCTTAAAGGCTGAAACGTGGCAGCCTGACCCCGTGCGTGAACTAATGCCAGAAGGTAACAACAGAGTGAGAGGAAATGCGGTGTGAAAAGGCAGTTGCTGAGCAGGTACAGCTTTTATTTGTTGCAAAACATTTTGAAATATATGTACTTTGCTCTTACGTCGGGTCGGAGCTAGGACAGCTGCTGAGCTCTGCTAAGCGAGGAAGCTCCCCCGGCCGCCGCGGGCTGTCGTTGCGTTGAGC